AGTCAGCTCTAAGTACAGTATCATTCCCAGAGAGGCTGGTTGGTTTGGTTTTTTGGTTTGGTTTGGTTTGGTTTTGGTTTTTCAAGACTGAGTTCCTTTGTGTAACAGCTGGATCTCACTCTGTAGACCAAGCTGTCCTCAAACTCACAGAGATCCTCCTGAGTGCTGGGATTAAAGGCATGCGCCACCACTGCCATGCAGAGGCTGTTTATTAACTTAGTCCCAGATGTAAACATTGCAGATCCTTTGTCACCTTTGAATATATAAAGAAAGCTTATTTTTTCATTTACACCAGATTTGTTTCAGTGTTCAGATTAGAATTTCAAATTTTGGGGTTTTTTTTCCTACCAAATTCCAAAATTACACACATTAGTCTAATTTAACATTGAAATGTGTAACAGCAAGTGAAGAAGCTCGAGTTCTAAACCCTCCATTGCAGGGACTCCATTCCTCGCCACAGGCCACATCGCCTAGAAAAATGGAGAGCAGGGTTACATTATCTGTTGGGGGCTGGGAGGGTGTCCACCCATGTGATGCTGTGGGACTGCCACGTCGGTGGTGTGGTCTTAAAGCGGCTTGTGTCAGTTGGAGACCGTCTGGGAGGCTTGTGCGCCTTCTGCTGGCACATTGAGTTTGTTGTCATTTCCCACGTAATCACCCAGGGAAACGTCCTCGGTGTGTTTGGAAAGCAGGAACAGATGCTGCCTTTGCCATTTTTGATCTGAATTTGGACATTGTCCAGGAAATATTCCAAGAATCACTTAAGACTGTTACTTCCTAAATCTGTTCATGTCTAAGTTTTCTTTCTGTTCGTCCCAGTGAAGAGAAACAAGTCGGAAGTTGCTGTGTTCTCCTCCCCGCCCCACTCTCCCGCAGCCCCCGGTATATCATGTCTGTACCTGCCCGAAAAGAGCGTTGTCATTGCTGGGCTTGTCATTGCTGGGCTTGATGATGCCTGAGGTCACAGCAGTTGGGGGTGGTGAAGCAATGGGATCTCTGAGTTTGAGAGCAGTCTGGGCTCAAACAAACAAGAAGACTAACATGTGGTACATGTGGTTCTTTCATTGTAAAGTTTCCTCCCTTGTTTGCCACAGAGCAAGTAGTGACCAACAGTTACTGTGCTGCTTGGGGAACGTTTAGATAACTTGAGTTTGGGCCAACAAGTTCCGTCAGGCAGCGTGGCTCCTTGTAACCAACCGGCAGTGCCGGAAGCGGGTTGATAGGATAGCGCTTATGGCACCAGGCCGAGGGGCGGGAGCGCTTCCTAACATCCTTCTCTGCCCCTGTGCTTACAGGGATCTCTTCAATGCTGCATTTGTGTCCTGCTGGTCTGAACTGAATGAGGACCAGCAAGATGAGCTCATCAGAAGCATTGAGTTGGCCCTCACTTCTCAAGACATTGCTGAAGTCACACAAACCCTCTTGAACTTGGCTGAGTTCATGGAACACAGTGATAAGGTGAGACTTTATCCCCATTGTCCCAGTGGACAGTGATAGGAAACCAGCTGTCAGGAGGAGAAAGCATGCACGCAGCCCACTCTTGTGTGTGTCCCATCTACCATGTGCCTGTGCTTCCTGTAGGGCCCCCTGCCACTGAGAGATGACAATGGCATCGTGCTATTGGGTGAGAGAGCGGCCAAGTGCCGAGCATACGCAAAAGCGCTACACTACAAAGAGCTGGAGTTCCAGAAAGGGCCCACACCGGCCATACTTGAGTCCCTCATCAGGTAAGCCCTGAATGCCTGTCCCACTTGACTGGAGTCAGTTGTAGAATTCAGCTGTGTGAAATATGCCATCCAGTATATCGATAAATCCACAGGAGTCTGCTTAAGGGGTAAAAGGAATTTATTAGGATATAAATTGGCAAAATATACTCATGAAATACAGAATAGGAGAATCGTCGCAGGGTCCTGGAAAGCTGAGATACAGTCCGATGCTGTTCTGCTGCTGAGATGGTTCACACCATCCAGCCCATGAGCAGGAGAAGAAAGCGGCATACATGCCTCCCAGGTCTTAAGGGTAGCCCGAGCCACGCCCCAGAGGCAGATACTTCAAGGTCATAGGTAGGGAGGACAGTTACCTACTACCTCTCTAGGGGCGGTGCTTCTAGGTCATAGACAGAACAGATGTCCACTACAGTCAGGTCTAGCTGGCACATGTAAGTATGTGGTTACAGGTGACTGTCAGTAGTCAAGCCATGGTTGTCACATCTGTCACATCTGTCAATCCTTACCACCTACACTCCGTTGTTTTCCAACCTGTGCTTGTCCCAGTGAAATCAGTGAGAAGCAGTTCTCTGGCCACAAGACCCTAGGAAAGACAGGTGTGTATCTAGGTTAGGTCATGCTTCTGAGCAGGATTAGGGCGCCCAGAGGCAGGGTCAGGTGTTAGAGATGAGGTCTTGTAGTGCCCATTCTTCCTCCTTTGGAGTTTGTGAATATGAAGAGCAAAGTCTGAGATGCAATGATTTTTCCCCTGATTCGGTTTTATCTCTCCTTTCCTAAGATGCTTTGGAGTCTTCTGGGTATGGAAAGGAAGTTGTTTAATAAATTTTGTGCTGTTAGAAATTACAGGCAGAAACATTAGCCTCAGCTCCTAGAGGACTGCTCACTTCCCCAGTGATTTTAGAAGTGTTAACTCTGTAGTCTAATATCTCCATGGAGATGCTAACAGGGTTCATCATTTAACTGCGAATAGCTCAGGACAAATCAAGAGCTAACAAGCTCCCGGGTAGGCTGACAGACCCGGCCGAGCAGCGGACCTCAGCAGCCATGCTCTGTGCACACTCTGCCTTTAGCAGGTGACAGAAGGTGTCACCCAACAGGTCAAAATGGAATCCTACTTCTGCCCAGGTCCATTGACATAGAGAACGCTGATTTCTGAAGTACTGTGTGGAGACAGTTACAGAGGTGCCGTCCACAAGGACTGCTTCAGCACAGGAGACACAAAGACCTGCATTTCTCCCCTCCTACCTGTCACTTGCACAACTCGTGTGATAGCTTAAGAAGCCAGGGTGACTAACTGGAATGTGTTAATTCTAACTTGAGACAGCTCATTAACCCATCGTGTAGTTGCTGCCTTTTCTGAGACCTGTTGGAAGCTCCTCATCCCACTGGTGGCTTTTCCTCATACTTGAGACCATCATAGAAACGTTGACGTTGATGCACTTTCTAGCAGAAAGATATAGTGTGAATAGAAAAGTGCTCATTAGCTTTTTAAGCCAATGTCATTGAAAATTATAATTCTCTGCAAATAGATTTGGGGTTGACGTGTTTTGTTTTGTTTCTTGGTTGTAAATTTGGATCTGAGGGAAAGCGCACACTCTGAGCTACTCAGGCGTGCTCAGCTGGCGGAGCGTGGGTGGCTCCGGAGCCTCCTCAGTTCCTTTCTCTGCAGCTTCTTCCATCTGCAGCGTTCTCTCGGGACGGGAACTCCTCTCCCTCAGCACTGTTGCGTTGTGTTGACTGTGATGCGCCTTTAAGGGAAGGTTGTTCTAGTGCTTCTGGGGTGTCGGGTCTGTTTGGTTTTGGGTTTTTTTTGTTTTGGGGGGTTTTTTTTGAGAAACAGTCTTCCTATGTAGTGCAGAGTGAACTTGGAATCCTCCTGCTTCAGTCTCCTGAGCTCTGGTATAGACGTACGCCTGCAGAGAGTTACAGGAACAGCTTGGGCATAGGTGCTATCGGGAAACTGCCCCAGAGTTGTCGGAGTGACTCCTCCTGGGTCCTGGCACTTTGAGTTGGGTGCCCCCTTTGTGGGTCTGGTCTTGAGGACGTGGCTCTGGAGGCACTGACTGCATTCCTTTTGTCACAGTGGCTCCTGAGTTCCTGCTCCTCTCCCTCAGCAAACTGTAGGTGTCCTGTCTGTTTTGACTATTTATGCCCTCCCTCCACACAGTGGTGGTGGTTGTGGTTTTTTTCCTACTCATATTCCACTCACTAATTTATCTATTCTCAGAGCTTATGGTGATACATACACTTAACATTAGCCACCTCTTTCTTAATTTTGTTTTTGTCTTTAAAAAACAAACAATATCTCTTGGAGCCAGATGTGGTGGTGCACACCTGTAGTCCCAGCACTCACGAGGTAGATTTGGGAGAATTTTATGCTCTGGTTCTGTCTGTCTGTTTCCTACCTGTTGGCTTTCTTACCTGTCTGCTCCAGGACAAATTAAAACCCAAGCTAGGGCAACACTCAAACAATATCAAGTGCTTGAAGCCCACATAGATGAGAAAGTGAAATCACCTCTCAGGAACAGTGCATTAGAAGGAATTGGACTTAAGAAACACATCATGGTAGCTGTGGGGGTCTTGTTGGTTATCCAGTGTGTGAGGGCAGAGGTCTGTTGGCCTGTCTTTTTTTGTTCTTGTTGTTTTGAGACAGGGTCTCATTGCATAGCCTTGGCTGTCCTGGAACTCTCTATAGCCCAGGCTGGCCCCTGCAGAGATTGACCACCCTGTGTCCCAGGCATGTGCCACAGCACCTAGCAGTGTGCCTTTCTTCTCTGCCCAGTAGAGACTCATCAAAGCTGTATGCTTGCTGTCCCACGTGTCGTCTCCTTTTAAAGGAGGCGTCTGTCCAGTTCAGCACAGGACTGGTGCTCACTGGGTGGATCTGCCTGTGGGCAGGTTCTGTGCATCCCTGTGTAGCACTGTTCTGTGTAACTCCTGTTCCCATTTCTCAAAGAGCCTGTCAGAACAAAACGTCCTTTGTCTTCCACAGCAGCACTCAGCTCTGCTCTGGTCCCTGGTGGTTCTGTCTTCTCTCTGGTCAGAGGCTGTGTGTGGGGACACCATCCTTGGTGTCCCTCTGTCAGCCAGTATCAAAGCACATGCTCGGAAATGTGGGCGCTAGGAAGGCCTTGTCCATTCTTCACCCTCCCTCTTCCCCTGTCTGAGAAGTTTCCCTAAGAAGTGTGGAGACCCTCAGAAGTTCTTTGGGGATCATACTAAATGAAGGGAGAACTGTCAGCTTTTCTGTGTGGTGCTGGGCATCTCATTCTCCTGCCTGCCTGAGGAAGTTTCTGTTTGAATAGCTCCCCTGGGAATCCCTATTTTATGCAGCTTCTCTTCTCACTTTATTTCTTTGAAAAATTCCCGAGGTTCTTGTTCGTGAGGGAAAGTGGCTTCTCAGGAACCAGAGAACTGTGCGTACAGTAGAAGTTACTAAGTGAGAGAGAGACGTGGCTTATCTTGAACTGACTTCCTCCAGAGGACGGTTCTTCTAAAGGGCCAAACCACTGACATCCCTGTGTGAGACCAAGGTGGTGTGGGGCTGCCAATGCCAGGCTCTGCTCCTGCTCTCCGATGGCTTATGCCCTTCCCCCTCTCTGCCCTTTGCCCCCTGCCCTTTCCTCTCTGCCCTTTGCCCCCTGCCCTTTCCTCTCTGCCCTTTGCCCCCTGCCCATTCCTCTCTGCCCTTTGCCCCTTGCCCTCCCACTGCATCTTTCCTTTCCTGGCTTCCTGCCTCTTTGGTTTCCTTGACTATGGACCCAACTGCTCACTCTGACTTTTTGCCTGAAGTTTTTACCACACTCTCAATGGTAATAATAAGAATTTAAAAGAAAATACTCAAATTTTGATAGTATTAATTGTAAAAGAAAAAAGATATTTTGAATGTTTAAAACAGAAACTACAATATTTTATTTTTACAAAGCAAGATGCTTCTCATATACAGCCTAAGTTTGTAACCACAGCGCCATCTACCTTCATTTTCCAGACATTTTTCTTATAGACAGTGTTATAAAGGGGATCTATCTCTTCAGTCCATTTCTTACAGAATGAGTATAAATGGATACGTATGTTGACTGAGAATGTTGTAAGGCTGTGCTGTGATCACTCTGAGACTCACCTCCCACTGGTCTTCCCTTCCACATCAGACCCACAGCGTGCCTTACAGTGTACTCCCTGACCCAGACCTAACAGAAGCAAGTCCAACCTGGGCAGCTGGTCTTCAGCCCCAACATTTTTGTCTCTTAAAAAGCCTATGTGCAGCTGGGCGGTGGTGGCGCACGCCTTTAATCCCAGCACTCGGGAGGCAGAGCCAGGCGGATCTCTGAGTTCGAGGCCAGCCTGGTCTCCAAAGCGAGTTCCAGGAAAGGCGCAAAGCTACACAGAGAAACCCTGTCTCGAAAAACCAAAAAAAAAAAAAAAGCCTATGTGCCTGTCATGGAGGCGCAAGCCTTTAATCCCAGCACTTGGGAAGCAGAAGCAGGTAGATCTCTGTGAGTTCAAGGCCAGCCGCTACATAATGAGTCCAGGACAGCCAGAGCTATGTAGAGAGACCCTCTCTCAAAAAGAAAAACAAAACAAATCCTGTAGACACAGGAAATGTCATGGGATTTAAGAAGAGGAAGCCTCCTCTTCATCATCCGCTCTTGTTGCCCAAGGCCTCTCCTCTGAGAATCACAACAGTTCTTTTCATTTGCTCTTGCCCTCATTTCGTCTAAGCCTCTGTTAGAGAAAATGGGTAAAGTGACCCCAGGATTACTGTTTTCCACAGGTGAGTCGTGTGGAAGATGCTGCTGCTCTCTGGGCCCACGCAGTCCTCCCCCTGGGCACCCGAGGCAGGCCCCACTGGGCCTAACTGTTGCCATTTGCTAGTGAGTGCTATTTGTATGTGTAGTTCTATTGTGTGTGCATGTGCTCACATTGGCAGCACAGATAGAGTTCTGTCCTGCTCCTTAGAGGGTGGCTCTTCATTGTAGATGATAGACCATTCCCTTCCTACCCTTTCTCCACCCTCCTCCCATCCTGCTGCCCCCTCAGCCTTCCACATGTCTCACTTCCATAGCTCTGCATTGCAGCAGGTTTCTTAGTTAGTTAGGGCTTGAAGACTTCTGGACGGATCTTCATCTCCACCCGTTTGAGGGAGTAGTTGGCTCCGTGCCAGCCATACCAACTGATGCCATCCATGTGCTTCTTGTGCTCCCCCAGGCGGTAGTACACCCCATTGAGGTTGGAGTCTGTGCAGCAGTTGTACCAGTAGCCACCTGGCACGAGAAACAGATGAGGCTTGTAGGCTGGGGATGCCCTCCCTAGACTGTGGCTGTCTGATGGTGTTAAAGAGAACACCACAGCTAGAGAACAGCTGCAGTTCACAGCTTGTTCTCAGTGGGACTCTGGGCCCCGCCCTCCCCAGATCTCACCTTTGCGGAGCTCTGCACACTTGTCCAAGCAGTTGTCATTGTCCTTGTCCTTGGTGCTGAAGACCGTGTTGTTATGGTAGAGGAGGGCATCCTTCCCCACATTGCCGCTGTAGTTCCCCAGGAAGAGGCGGTAGCTGTTCAGTTCATTGTCCAGTGCAAAGTGGCTGTACTCTGCGTAGCGTGCATTACCCTCCCAGTCCTGGCAAGGAAGAGCAGAGCCTTAGGGAAACTGTAAAGGACTTCATTTCTACAGACCCTGAACCCTTCCTCTCTCACTAGCCCCACAGCCAGACATCTCTTCGGTGATGGGACTCTGGTAAGACTACTAGAGTTCACCATGTTAGCTGGAAGCTAGCGAGCAAAGGTCTGAAACCAGATTTGGGGTCTGGACTCACCATATGACCTGGATTGTTCTTTCTGTACCCCTTCGTATCTCTGTCTGATTTTTGTTAAATCTCACTCTGAGATACTGTGCTTGAAGATACTACATTGTGCTTAAAGCCTTCTAGAGGGCCACCACCCAGCATCACTGAGATTTGCACTTAAAAAGATCCCAAAGCAGAGACACAATGGTGTTTCCATCCCTCTAACTAGGGGTTCACCCTGTTCTGGCCTGGGTCTTCCCAGGTCTGGGTCAGCTATAGTTTAACTTTGCTGAGAGATAGAAAAAAAAAACAAATCTTCCTTAGCTGTACCAAACCTTCAGGAAAATAGCGGCAGTGACTGTACAGACCTACTGTGAGTAGACGATGGTGATGTTTCCAAACCTGCATATCCATGTGCAGTGGACCTGGGCCAGTGGGGGCCTCACAGCTTGAGCTTACCTCCAGCTCCACACGGAGCCGTGTTGGCTGCCTGGTAAGCCGGTGGATGTGTTCATTCCCTAGCCAGAAGTCCCCTCGGGTGCTGCCAAAGCCCTGCTTATACTGTCTCCAGTCTTGGTAGAAGGAGACAAGGCCACTCTTGCGTCTCTGGATGATGGTCCAGCCTCCGCCTGCAGTTTCCATGTCACAGAACACCTGAAGCAGAGAGGGTCCTCTTGGGCAGGGGCAGGAGCTCGAGGACAGACACCCCACCCTGTGTACTGTGCCTACAGGGTCAGCAGTCCATGGACTCTGAACACTGCAGCAGAAATACTGCCCCAGTGTGGAGGGGCTGGAGCACAGTTAGCTTGGGAATGTATATGGGGAGGGGGTCAGCTAAGTACACCTTGATGGAAAAATTAGGTACTTCAGGGTGCCTCCTTCTGATATCTCCTTTCCTCTCTTGAAGAGCATTGCTCTAGGATGTTGCCAGAAATGTAAACTAGTTAAGTTATGTGTTGGTGAGAATTAGAGTTGGTATTTGACTGACATTTTGAAAAAAAGCAGATAGCTGGGATTTGGAGGGAGGACTCCCATAAAGTGGGCATTCTCATAGCTCCACCATGTGGTACGTTTGCTTCCCTGAATTTCCCTTTCTGTAGACCAGACCAAGCCCTGTTGTCTCCATGCCTTTAGCGACCTCACCTCCAGCTCAGGGCTGCCCAGGAACTCATCGGGAGGAAGCTTGTACACTCCAGAGATTCGGTAGTTCTTCTGGTAGAGGGAATAGCAGTCATAGATGGCATCTGTAAAGGCGACACCCGGAGTGAACAGTGATTTGGGCTCCAGGGATGGGAGGGCATGCTTGCTGCATCTGAACTGGATTAAAAACTGAAACTTTATTTGTACCACAGGGTTCCAATGGGTAGAAGTGGGCATTGGATCATGGGGGCATATTTGAGCTTCCTTAGTTATGAGGCAGTAGAGTAGGGAAGCCCTTTACCTGTGCCAAGGAACATTAACCAGGAAGGTCCAGGTTAAGTGTAAGATACCCTGCTATAGCACCAGGCCATGGAACTAGAAATGATGCGGTCTGTGAAAGCTACTTAGCAGCTGCCCTGTGAGTAGCTTCAGCCAGAGGCTCAGTCCTGAGCACTCAGAGGGTTTGGATTATTGTTAACAGGTCATAGCTACTGGCAGGCTGGTACTTTAATTAGGGAGACAGATTTGAAATCTTATCTCCTCCCCAATCTCACATTGCTAGATGCTCAGATGAAAACCAAAACTCCAAGGAGCCCATTGGGACCATTCCCTGCAAGTTTTGATAAAACAAGGAAGTGAGACTTTCCCACCTCCCCTTGGGCTTGATGTAAAAGCTTCCTTGGCTGCCTCGAGGCTGCTGCTCTGTGCTAGCCTTTGTCTCCTTGTTCTGAATAGCTGAGTGAGGCTTCAAAGAAGCAGTTGCTTCTAGGAGAGGCTGTGGCTTCCTGCACCGTCTCGGGACTTTTTCCTTGGTGCCCACTGGTACAGGTGGAAGTGGGAGTTTCCACAGTGCCTGTTTCCACACAGAGCATGTTGGGGAAGGGAAGTGAGGTGCACCTGCCCGTCCCCAGGAGACTTCTAGTAGCAAGAAGCGGTCCAGTCAGCTCTGCCTCTGGCCTGGTCTTCTCTGTGACCTGTTGCATCTCACAGACCAAATGAAGACTACTTGTCTGGTAAATGAGAACACCTACCTTTCAGTTCCCAAACTGAGGATCAGGAGGTCCATGCTTTGAAAGCGGTTTGTATAATTGTTTAATTAGCTAACAGACTTTTCAGGCTTAACATTTGGACAAAACTTTTTCTTTGTCTGAACCAAGGGTAGCCAATCATGTCTTCTTGACTTGGTTTATAATGCATCCAGCGTTATTAGTAAGAAATGCTTCACCTATGGAATATGCTCATTCCAAATGTTCCAGTAACCTCAGAAAATTAGATTTGTCTCTGAGCAGCAAATTCTGTCTGTGCCAAGCTAACCAACAACTGAATATTGTTTTCCCAAAGAATGAATTGCATGTGCCTTACTTTCAGCCATTAAAGATCAGTGTTTCAACATTACCTTTACTTACTTTCTGTATTATTTGGGAGAGTTTTATTAGCAACCATAGAAGAAAATAGATCAGAACTGTAGAAAGTAGAGGAGTTTGTCCTTTCTTGAGCACAGAGGTTTTGTTCAAATGGCTGTATGGCTGCAGGCATTTGTACCCCTCCACACTAAGTTCTAGGGACGCCCAAACACTAGGGTGTGGGATGGAACTGCATCTACAGCAGCAGCTGTTACAGTCTGCTGTCTGTTCCTGCTTCCTTTACAGTCTGTCAGCTCTCAGGAAGGAAGTAGAGCAGGGCCACGCCAACCTCTGAAGACGTCAGGCTTCACAGGGGAGTTCAGACTCCCAATTTGCTGAAATTTTGTGTGATTCAGATAGACTGGAGCCAGATATGTTTCATGCCTGTAATTCCAGTGCTTGGCCCGCTAAGGCAGTAGGATCTAGAGTTCAGGGCCAGCCTAGGCTGCATAGTGAGTTTGAAGCCAGTCTGGGCTATGTGAGACTTTATCTGAAAAAGAGACTAGTAGGTCCTGGCTAAACTTGCAGGACATCACTAACCCCCAAAGAATACAAATGAGCCTTTAAAGATAAAGCACTCCCCAAAGGTCCCCCGAAGTTATTCTGTCGAGCAGGCTATCCAGAAGCAGCGCTGGGGCCAGGAGGCTCTCAGCAGGGCCGAGGTGAGTGTATGAGGACAACGCTTACCTGCCGAGGTCTGAGTGACAGTCTGGGCTGCCTGTAGCTGCATGATGTCGATCTGGTTGTTCATCTCTGAGTACTTGCCCTCGGCCACCGTGAGCCGTGACTCCATGCGCTTGCTGCTGCTCTCCAGCTCCATCACCTGCATCACCACACTGACCCAGTCACTCTCCTGCTTCTTGCTCAGTTCACCCAGCAGACTGCTGAGGTTGGCAACCTGGGCTTTGAGCTCCCTCATCTCCTCACAGCACACCGCTGCTTTGAGCTGTGCAGGTGTCTTGCGCTTAGGAGGCTTCTGCAGCCACACTGGGTGGCTGACAAAGGCCACAAGGACAATGCATAACCAGGTCTTCCTCAGCATGTCTGTGGGCCTGTTGGAGAGGTCTTCCTCTAGAGTCTGTACCTGACAGAGGTCTATGAAACTGCGGGAAGCTTGTGACTTACACGGGCAGTTTTCTTCCTTCCTGGTGGTTTCCTTCCTCTGCGCTTTCTTAGTCTTTCTCAAAGCTAGAGTTTCTGAAGTGGAACTCAGTGGGTACTGGAACACTTTCCTTCCCAGGTCTAAATGCCCCACCAAGGCAGCATCTTAAATATTGTTAGTGCCTGTACCTCCACCCTACCATGGCTGTGTGCTCAAGCCCCTCCCACCTCATCTGGGAGGGTCAGGTGCCTGTTGAGTGAAGTCAGCGCAAACTTAGGCCAGAGCAGAGGAGGAGGGGACGGGGCCAGTGTTTGTTTCCTTGTCTGTACAGTCTCTGGGCTCAGACAGAAGGCTGTGAATTTGTTTCCAGTTGCGCCTATTAGATTATACCCCTGCCAGCCTCTGGCTCAGCTCTATCAGCAGACAGGCAGTAGAAGAGTTTCCAAACTCCCGTCTGAAGGTTACATAACACAGACTGAGGGTGAGGTAGTGAAAAGGAGTCTGGACGGAGACTGCTGAGCTAGGGAGGCCTGCTAAGGTAATCCATGCTGTTTACTTGCAGTTCTGGTTTATGTGGACATCCCGATGAGTGTGGGCAAAGTAACCGGGCTGGATAGGTCTTCTTCTGGTCATCACTCAGGGTTTTACAAAATCCTGTTGAATCTGAATTTGTCTTCCTTTTTACACACCTTCCTTCCAAAAAGATCACCTGACATTTGATAAGGAGGTGTCATATGCTTAGGACAGAGCAGAAGATTCAGCCATGCCAGGCACGGCTCTGGGATTGGTCACCCACTTGTGTCTGTGTCTGGGCAGCAGTGAATAGGCTCAGCCTTTGCCTGAGCTTCAAACGCAGAGAAGAAAACTCCATATCACCTAATAAATCTAGATCAGGAGTCTAGGTTCTCTCTCTATGCAGTATGGTTTGCAACTTGATGTTAGTCCTTCTGTACCTGCGTATGATTTTGCCTGAGAAACGGAGTTATTACAAACTTTATATCCTTTATTTGAAGTGCTCTCCTAAAATCATGTAAAACCATGGAACTTTTCACTAAAACTATACAAAGGTCCCTCTGTCCTTGCCACAGGAGCTCTATCTTTGGAACCTGTGTGTGCTGTTTCTATGATGGTGAGCCCCTGAGACAGTCACTTGACTTGGTCCTCAGTGTGGGTCCCCCACCCAAGCCTGACACTGCACAGCTCTTCCTGCTGCAGCCTTTCTGGGCCCTTCCAGCCCAGTGTCTGGCTCCGCAGAAAGAGGTTTCTGTTGAGGCCGCTCAGGTTAGCCGCAGGTTTACGTTTCTGAATGAACGAGCATTAAGGACTCAGATAGGCTGCCTCTTGTTTCCCCTCATCTCCTGACTTTTTCGCTTCCTTGGGGATCAGGATGTTACTGACAGGATCTTCTGGGTTAACCTGCTCAGAGATTCGGGGTTGGCACTATGCTCGTCCGCTCCTTTTTCACTTTCTTTAGTGAATGGCTGGTTTAGCAGTCTTCATTGGCTCCGTGGAGTTCATTAGTGTTTAATGTCATTCAAAATCTGCTAAACTCCGTGGAGCTCTTTAAGGTGACCTCGTGTCTCTCCAGTGATGCTGTGCTTAAGCCACGAGTCGCAGAAGTGTCGTGTACCATATGATCATATAAATAGTGGATGCTATACATCCTGTTGCCCCAGAACCAGTGTCATAGTGCAGCAGAGAGCACTGGGGACAGGCCAACCTTTGCAATAAGTGTAGTGAACCAGCTGGTTAGCATTCAAGCAGAGAACATTCAGATTTTGATCCTACTTCACACCATGCACAAAATTTCAGTTCTAGATTTAAATTCTAGATGTGAAAGGCAAAATCATAACAAGTTGTGTAGGAGATTATCTTCAGCCTCTTGAGATAAGCCAAACACCAAATCTTCCAACACAGTAGAAACATTAAGATGTGCAGGCCAGTTGTGGTGACACTCTCCTAATATCCTAGTACTCAGAGGGTAGAGGCAGGAGAAGTGTAAGTTTTTGACCATTTTCGCTATATAGCAAGTTCAAGGCTAGCCTGAGCTGCATGGTAAAAAAGAAAAGGAAATGCAAGAAAAGTATAGTCATTTCTTTTCAATAGAAAACACTGAGAAGCCAGGCATGGTGGTGCACACCTTTAATCCCAGCCCTTGGGAGACTGAGGCAGGTGGATCTCTGTGAGTTCAAGGCCAGCCTGGTTTACGGAGCAAGTTCCAGGACAGCCAGGGCTGTTACATAGAGAAACCCTGTCTCGAAAAACAAAAAAAGGCACTGAGAAGAAAGAGAAAGTTGTGTTTCTCACCTCATCCACATGCTAGACAGAGTTCCAAGATCTTGGCCATCCAGAGGCCAAGATCAGACTTCACCCAAAATACCCAGTGTGCTTTGCATCCAACTAGATCAAGGTTGAGCTCTGAGCCCTCCCCACCCGCATCTTCTTCATAGTCTCTCCCTGAGCTCTTCATTTCTCTCTGGAAAAGGGAGAAAAACCTCCAGGCATCACCAGAAGAGGGGCAGTGCTCACTGTTGCAGAGTAAAAAGATAACAGCCAATTTGTCAAGAAGCACTGACAAAAAAGATAAAGTTGGAAGTAATTAACTGGCTGACACACTGGGAGCGATGTGCCTGCCAGTAGCTCCCTAAATCAGCCAGAGCCTTGGAAACGCGACAGCCATTCGTCATTTTTACAGCATGCCTCTGACAGGCTCCTCAGTTGGAAACCTGGCCCACACAGACTCTGTGCTTTGACACTCTGAGGCTTGAACCAACCTGTGCCACATGCTGGGTTGGATTAGGTCCGAGGTCCACATCCATCCAGGAGACACTTGCAAGCAGAATATACCCAGCCTGTCACCAGGCAGTGCTTGGCCTCCAGGGACAGTTTCCAGAGGGCACATGGAGTTGTGAGTGCCTGCACAGCTTTCCTTGTGGCCTGGATCCACCAGGTACCACTATCAGCCAGCTGGATTCTCTTGGTGATGGCTTGTTGGCACAGCATTAAGAAGAATTATGAGGCCAATTGTGATAACTCACACCTGAAATCCCAGCATTGCAGTAGCTGAGACAGGAGAGAGCAGGTTCATGGACTCCATAGTGAGACCATCTCAGAACTCAGGAAACAAAACAAAAAAGGACGTGTGAAATATCTTAGTAAAATAGAAATGCCTATGTTATGTGCCAAAGCAGGATGCAGGAGCGTATGTTGGGCATCACTCTGTAAGATGTGTTTAATTAATATGCACAGGTGAGATTATTTTAAATTACAATTATATTGTAATAAACTTCCCTACCCTGAATATTTCCTAATTTGGAGTGGGGAGACTGGAGATAGTTTAGTGGAATAGCACTTTCCTAGCACATGTGTGAGGTCCTGGGTTCAATCACCAGCACCTTGTGCCACCGGAAAACCTATGTGTTTGCCTCTCTGTGTCTCCCTTCTCCAGCAAGTCACAAAGACGCTTTGTCAGGTGTGGTAGCTTATGCCCATGTTCCCAGCACTCTGACACGAGAAATAGCACTAAGGTTCAAGGACCAGCTTAGGCCACATAGGAAGACTGTCTCAGAAAACCAAAAACTAAAATAGGCAAATAAAAACACTGTATAAGATATCCTCACTCAGTAAAATGAATTTAAAAAAGAAAGAAAGAAAAGAAAAAAGATATTCTCATTCTCAACAATTTCTAAAATGTACGGTTTCTTTATGCCTCTTCCCACCCTAGCCATGAGGATCACACAATCTCGCTGCACAGTTACCGTGTCCTCTAGATAGAACAGACATCCTGGGAACTGTCCAAAGGGGAGGGATGAGGATGCTACAGGAGCTTTTCCTTCTGAGGAAACTCTGGAATTAAGACAGCAGGAACCTTGTGGAAGCTCAGAAAATAGCCACTTGACTTATATTAACTTTGCTTTAGATGTATGATCCTGCTGCCCCAGCTTCCTAGTGCTGGAATTGTGTGTGTGTGTGTGTGTGTGTGTGTGTGTGTGTGCGCGCGCGCGCGCATGTGCACACACCAGTACACATGCACAAAGACCAGAAGAAGGTATCTGGTGTCCTCCTTTATGACTCTTCACTATTCCTTTGAGGCAGAATCTCTCCCTCAACCTGGGTGTTTTCCTCAGCTAGGAGTCTTAGTACCATAGATTCCTGAAAGTTGCAAAAAGTACCAAATGTTCCAGCTTTGAATGTCTGTGATGGGGCCCATCTTTTCTTTCATAATGTGCAGGGGAAATGCTAAAAATTACCTTTCTCTAAGTTTTTAAAAAAGTAAATTTGCCGAGTAGTGGTGGTGCATGCCTTTAATCCTAGCACTCAAGGCATGTGGTCTATGAGATCTGGGCCAGCCTGGTCTACAGAGCAAGTTTCAAGACAGCCAAGGTTACACAGAGAAACCCTGTCTTGGGAAAGAAAAATTTTCTTTTAATTGAATTAGTTAATTGTGTGTGAGAGAGAGCGTGCGCGCATGTCAGCACATATGTGCAGTATTACACACGTGGAAGCTGAGGGCAACTTTTGGGAGTCAGTTCTCACCTTCTACTATGTGAGTTCTAGGGTCAAACTCAGGTCCTCAGACTTGGTGACAAGTGTCTTTTCCCACTGAACCATCTCACCTTTTGGTTTCCCACCATATTCCTTCTTGTCTGCATTTAAATGACCCCACCTCACCTCCTCTCGGTCAGGTTTTATTTTGTTTTGTTTTGTTTTTCGAAACAGGGTTTCTCTGTGTAGCTTTGTGCCTTTCCTGGAACTCACTTGGTAGCCCAGGCTGGCCTCGAACTCACAGAGATCCGCCTGGCTCTGCCTCCCAAGTGCTGGGATTAAAGGCATGCACCACCACCGCCTGGCTTGGTCAGGTTTTAAATATCCCTTTGCTTCCTGTCTTCGCTGCTGTCCTTCCATCTTGAAACTAATCTATTCCAAAAGAGACTGTTGTTGAGGCCCCTGAACAAAACATTCTGTGGTTCCAAGACTCTTGAACTGCCTGATGAAGACGTCAGGGCGTCGCCAACCCTTTCATCCTGGCTCTGGAGGGGCATCGACAGTTCTGTTGTTAATCTGTGCTGGGCACCGAACTGACTCGGTGCTGGGGGAAGCAGTTCTGTGCCATGAAAACAACCGATGAAGTGCTTGGGATCCAGAGCCGTGCTTGACACCATCCCCTGTGGCCGCTCAAGACACCCCATTCCATCCCCTGTGGCCGCTCAAGACACCCCATTCCATCCCCTGTGGCCGCTCAAGACACCCCATTCCATCCCCTGTGGCCGCTCAAGACACCCCATTCCATCCCCTGTGGCCGCTCAAGACACCCCATTCCATCTCCTGCCAGCTGTGGTTCGTGTGCCATTGTTTTGGTGCCAAGGGAATCCAGAGAATTCCTTTGACAGGGAACCAAGTAAAAGGCAGACAGACGGCAGTCTGCACAAGAAGGAAGGCCCAGGGCCATGTGGAAGCAAGCAGTAACGTTCTCATAAATTCCTGATGGAGCACCAGGGAACCCAGGCATTGCAGATGGAGCACAGATGCTCCCTGTCTGCCTGGGCATCCGCCCCTCCAGGCTTGGTGTGGAAGGCTCTCCTTTGCTTGGCTCTTAACTGCCCTGAGGTCACTAAGGCTCCTAGGCTAAGAGAAGAGAGCAATAAGCAAAGGGCCGCAAAGGAAGCAGACTCCAAATCAGCTACTGTGAACAGTGACTAGGAAACCCTTCAGGGACTGTGGTGCTTCTCAGGCAGCAGGAATGGTAGCTGGGCTGTTTGGCTTTTATGTTAGTCCCTTTCTTCTCGGTGAAACTAGTCACAAACTGCCTATGAAGAGCCTCAGGATGAGAGATGGACACGTCGGGAGGTTACAGAGGACTAGGAGGAGGGAAGTGGGGTAGATATGCTCTCGACACAGTGTATACATGTGTGAAGTTGTCAGCAATAAGTTTTTTTAAAAAATCATAATTTACAGATAGCCGGGTGGTGGTGGTGGTGGTGGTGGTGGTGGTGGTGGTGGTGGTGGTGGTGGTGGTGCACACTTTTAATCCCAGCACTTGGGAGGCACAGGCAGGCAGATCTCTGAGTTTGAGACCAGCCTGATCTACAGAGTGAGATCCAGAACAGCCAGGGCTACACAGAGAAACCCTGTCTCAAAACAAAGGAAAGGGCCGGGCGGTGGTGGCGCATGCCTTTAATCCCAGCACTCGGGAGGCAGAGCCAGGCGGATCTCTGTGAGTTCAAGGCCAGCCTGGGCTACCAAGTGAGTCCCAGGAAAGGCGCAAAGCTACACAGAGAAACCCTGTCTCGAAAAACCAAAAAAACAAAAAACAAAAAAACAAAGGAAAGGAAAGGGAAAAAGCCCAGAGGGACAGCTTGGGGGCGGGGGACCACAGGAGTCACCAGGCCCTCTTGCTACCCTGGAGTCTCAGCATCATTCCCACTGCGGCAGCAGCATGTTCCCTCACTTCAGAACCCTTCTCTGGTGTCTGACCAGTCTGCTCTCCTAGTCCCAGAAAAGAAGTGCCCTTTGTGACCTGCTTGTCGGTGAAGACATTGAGGTGACTTCTTGTCCTTACTCATTAGTTGTAACCAACTCCAGAAAGTGTTTTCCTCAGGTGGCAAGAATGTTTCCAGTCTCTAGCCCTTGAATTCAGCCTCCCTTTAAAAAGAAAAGAAAAATAATGAGTCTTCTGAAGAGAATGAATAGGCCCCTTTGCCACCTGACTTCCTCGTTTCCTACAGTCAGGTCCGTTTGTGGACTCTGGGTTTTCCTTTGCAGGTAAGCAGTTTCGACCTGCTTTGTAGACTCCTAACTATGTAAGTCGACTGACCTGTCATTTCCACCCACTGCTAAGTAGCAGTGGCCGCCCACGCCTCAGTCTCTGCATCTGCTCGCTGCTGTGTCTTTACCAGCATCAGCAGAGCTGCTTTGTGTTGAGCGTTCCTCTGCTGCTGGGCCGAGTCTGCTCAGGTCAGTTGGCCCCTTGTATCTTTCAGTGTTAGTAGAGAAAGACTGGGAGTTGGGGAGGGGGGGTACGCAGGGAGGGTTTATAGGAGGGGCTTTGGGACACTCCCAGCTCGATAAAATGGGTTTTTCAGAAGTGGGGTAGGGAGCAAAGGTGACTTCTTCACAAGAGCAGAGTACACACCCTGTCCTTCAGTCCCCATAAAGTGACAATTGCAGGTAGTCAGAGGACAACTGTCAGGACTGAGGTCTCTCCTTTTGTCATGTGGGTCCCAGAGATTGAACTCAGGTTGCCAGACTTGGCAGCAAGAGCTCTAAGATGGCTTTGAAATGGTGGCATGGCATTCAGCAACCTGTGACCTCTTTTCTTCATATATAAAACGAGTCTATTAATGACTGTCATTCCTCACATCAATGTAGTACCTGCCATGTGCAGTGAGCACTTTCCTTGATGAAGTGAGTTGTCATAGCGCATTACCTCTGAAGGTAGGGTCACGGAAGAAGAAGGAAACATTAAAGCCTCCAAAAGACAGGCTCTCTTTTTGGAGTAGAGTGAGTTAGAGACAAGATTTCTCTGTAGCCCTGACTGGCCTGGAGCTCACTTAGTAGACCAGGCTGGTCCCGAACTCAGAGATCCACCCGCTTCTGTGAGTACTGGGATTAAAGGCATATGCCACCACCGCCCAGCAGACAGGCTCTCTTAATCAACAAGATTTGGCTCCTTTAGGCCTCAAATCCAAAATTATGAATTTTATCTCTGATTGAGCCCTCTCACTTTTCATGGGTCTCGGCCAGAAGTAATTTCTCAGTAGTTTTCCTTATCGCTACACAAGAGCAGCCCATGGTGACAAGAAGCCTCTCAGCTCCATGGCCATTGCTTAAGGCCTAATGCCTCTGCTGTGCTCAACCTGCTCCGTTTCCCCTTCCTGCTGAGCCCCCTGCATCCCCAAGGCCTGCACAGCAATGTGGGATACCCTGCAGAAGTGATTTGTTTGGACAGCCGAGGGAGTTAGGGCCCAAGGAGGTCTCATTCTCTGTGCACAGTGCTCTATTGGTCTGTCTTACAAGGCTGTGTTGCTAAACCATGGCACTAGTGAAGAGTTTGAATCTGTGCATTAAGATGTCAAATTGTCAGTGATGGTGCACGCCTAGTCCCAGAACTTGGGAAGCAGAGGCAGGCGATCTCTGAGTTCGAGGCCAGCCTGATCTCCAGAGCAGTTCCAGGGCAGCCAGGGCTACTCAGTGAAAAACTAAAACAAAACCAAACAAACAAAAAAAGATGTCAGATTACCACCTCCTAATTTTGACTGTTGTTAAACTCTCTAATACGCATAATTAGTGGCAGAATGGATTGAGCAAAGGCATTTTATGTGGTTTTAGTTTTGGTTTTTTGTTTAACCACAATGTCAGTGAGTTTCAGAGTAAACCAAGCACTTTGTAATGTTCATAATTTGTTCTTGAAACAGAGTATGTTCGGACAAGGTAAGAAGACAGCTGCTAAGACTGGTGTGGTGGTTTTCCGTTTGGTTTGGTTTGGTTTGTTTTTCAGCCTGGTTAGAGTTAGCACTCTGGTTTAGGCCAGGAGCACTTCACCTTCCTTGTCAGGACAGTTTCCTCCTGCCAGGACCTCCTCCCTCCAAGACTGCCTTTGCAGTCCACTGACAAGAGTACTGAGAACATGAAGTGCCATGTTTCAGGAGTGCTTACTGGCTTTCCTTTTCCTGTGTTCTTAGACTTCCAAAACTACCATTTGGTTAAAGAACTAGACAGTGGCAGAGCTGTACCAAGTAATGTTGGTTAGCAATGCAGCTCATCCTACCCTATGAGAGTAGACCACTGAGGTGAGGGGCTTACATGCCATGACACCATGTAGAGGCCAGCCTACATGGTATCCCTTCTCTCCTCTGCCGTGTGGGTCCTGGGGATCAAACTCAGACTGTCAAGCTTGGTAGCAAGTGCCTTTATCCACTGAGCCATCTTGCCCGCCCATTGTCCATTTCCTAATAGAGACATCCAGTTGCTCCAGGTATTAGGGGAACATTCTGATTCAGTCTGAGTTTAGGTTTGGTGTCCTTGGCTCGGTGTCCTCATTAGTAAGATGGAACAAATCTTAACCTTTCTTGCCTGGTTTTCTCAGGGATGGGAGGCCAAAGGAATGATGGTTGGAAGGACTGTCAGAAATGTGCTTTGTAAACACGAGGCATTCAATTATTACTTTCACAAATGTTAACTTCTCTAGTCCATCAGATTTCTGGGCAGTTCCTTCCAGTTTTATTGGAAGAAAAGTGATGGAATTAAAAAAATATGTTTATAACAGCAACCTCTTGCCATATTACCACATGGAACCCAAATCCTAGAATTTCCCAAAACCACTTAAAAATTAATTCTACTCAAGTAGACAGTTTGTACTCTGTGCAGTAAACTAGATCCATGCTCATTAAATCTGTCTAGATTCCCAAGTCGGTAGGCCACATGTTGGTGTTTGCCTGGCTAGTGACTGGATACAGCCACTGTGGCCTGCCCGAGTGTGCTCCCCATCTCCCTGCCCTCCCTCCGTCGCAGTAGCAGGCTGTGTTTAGCACTGGCTCAGCCGCACAAGTTCCTCGTAGAATGGGGGCTAAGGCTTGTAGTTCTGCTCTCAGGGCCATCTTGTAGCCTCTGATGAATTAACTCTAGGGACCAGGGCTTCGGTGGCACTGCTCAGCAGCCGGCACACAGTGCAGTTCTCCAGTTCTGTGGGCCGCAACACCACCTGGAAGTGACTTTAGTGAAGAGCATCAGTATGCTGATGGCCAGCACTAGAAACTCCGCTCCCACAAGATTTACTGCAGAGGGAGGGAGTTGTCCCTGAAGAGGGACCAAAGAAGCCTGGGAATTATGCCATTTTTTAAAAAAATTATTTTTATGTCAGTGAATATTCGCCTATGCGTATATATGTGCACCACGTATGTGCAGTGCCCATACAGGCCAGATGAGGCCGTCAGATCCCCTTAGAACTTGAGTTAGAGGCAGTTGTGAGCCATCCTGGGGTACTGAAAACCAAACCTGCATTCTCATTAAAAGCAGCAAGTGTTCTTAACTGCTAAGCCATAAAAACCGTTTAAATGTGTGACTGAGAGCATAGCTCAGTAGTAAAGCACATGCCTAGCACACATGAGGCTCTGGACGTGCACTGCCTGCCAGACGGCGTCTGAGTGAAAACCAGTCTCTGCTGTCCAGAGAACAGGCCAGAATACCACATACTAACTAGTCTTTACTGCCCCTCAGACTGGGGCCGGAAATCAAAACCCTTCTCTCAGGTAAAGTCATTCAAGCTGGCTTTCTGGGTGGTGATAGGTGATGGACACCCCTGTGTCTGTGAGACCTCATTCTTGGGATGCTGGTGAGCCATCTTGCCCGGTGTCCCCAGACCCCCCTCCTTCAGATGCACGAGTGTAACTGTGTCCTCCTTTTGTTTCCTCAGCATCAATAATAAGCTACAACAGCCTGAGGCAGCTTCCGGGGTGTTAGAATATGCCATGAAACACTTTGGAGAGCTGGTAAGTGCCTTCTGATTCCTTCTAGAAAGACAAGTAGAGACCTGGCTACAGAGACACTCAGCCACCACCTTGAAAAAGTTACTCTCCATTTCTGTGGGGTTTTTCCTTAATTTGTGAGGCTCTAAATGCGAGCTTGCCTGTATCCTAAGGATGACAGGGACAGAGCAAGACGGACCGCATTCCCATGGAATGGAGACGAGGGGCAGTGATGGTGCACAGTCTCCTCAGCAGTGGTGGTTGGTGGGAACTCTTAGCATGTAATGTGTGATGAGTGCTCCACATGCTTCATCTGGCTCCATCCTCACAGGAGCACACTGAAGTGGCTGTTGTCACTGTCCCTTTCTCAGTGAGGGACTGTGGACCCAGCAGGGTGAACACCTGTGAGCTAACAGAGCAGGATTTGAACTTGGGCAGGTGGGCACCAAGA